ACATTTAATAATGCATTTAAATGTGAAACTTCTTCAAACTTCTTCAATATACCATGTTTCGATTCTGGTCTTTTATTTTTAAACTCAAACCGGTGGAATAAAATATTTATTTTTTATTGCATTTTTTCAATTAAATTTTGTAAGTAGTCGCTGAAATCCACAAAATCATAAAATCCTGCTAACTCAGAACATTCACGTGATAACGAATCTACACTCAGAGATAAATAAATGCATTTATGGTTTTGATCAATACTGGACTTCCGTGTTAAGCACATTTGAAACGCTGTTGGAAGTGAGAGGATGTTCATATTTGAAGTGAAATGAGTTGGCTCCCTCCAACATATCCATCAATCAGCAGCTGATCCGAAGAAACAAAATGTTTTTCTTGGCGAATGGCGGGTGGTCAGCATTGACTGTACATCGCACATTTTGAGGCATGATGATTGTGTTAGTATGTTTCTGCTATAAAAATTCTGTGTGGCGTTTAAACAGTTACTATAAAATTTAGCGCATGGATGGGATGTAATGCCACACTCACCATATTCTCCAGTGGCCCCTTCGAATTATTATTTGTTTCTGTCACTGCAAAATTTGTGGACAAAAAAACTTTGATAACCAAACGAGAGTTCAAAATGACAGTCACAATTGTTTAGACATTTTCTTGCACCGTGACTTGAACCGAACTGAAAAAATATTGAGTTAAAAAACTATCATACTGAGAACTGCTGGTTAAATAATGAATGCTATGAAAATTATGCCTTGAGTCTTTTAAATTATCTATTTATCTTTCAAAATGGCTTATATCGAGTATTAATACAGAAACAGAATGCGGGTAGATAGCAAACGAAACGTTGCAAAATGTTTAAAAAAGGCGTTTTTCCTTCAAAAAACAAATAATATTTTTGTATGTGTGACATATCTTCATTCATTCATGCATACAGCAAGAATAATTTTCATGATATATTACCCTGCAGTAATTCAAACTGTTTTAAGCGGAACAACCCCACTGCTAATTTAGCTGCCATCGCCGAAGAACAAATAAGATTACAATCAGAGAGTCATCGTTCATAGCGTTTATATCATTTTATGTTATTTATTAATATTATGTACATACCAGTGGCGGATCTAGATGGCGTAAACTGGATGAAAAATTCTGAAAAATGTGTAATTCCTAGCCTGTGTAATTGTAATGTGTAATTGGTGGTGCGGTAGGATTGAAAGTCAATTAGCCATTTTTGGTAATTCAACGGGGACTCAAAAATTAAGGTATTTAGTCGGTTTTTCTTTAAAACAGTTGTTTTCCTGTCTAAAAACCAAGTTTTACTGACTATCAATAGAAACAATTTTTACTCTACCCGTTCCTTCTCCCTAGATACACCACCGGTAGGTACCAAGTGATTTTTTTGGACATAGAAAAACTGTCAAACTGCTGTTTGGGAAATCCTGAACGATGTCAATCTTCGTCTAAGTTAAAAATAACTAATCTTGAAAAGACTCAGTCTATGTTGGCTGGTACTTGGTTACAGATGTCTGTAGTTGAGACGTTTTTAGTAAACAACTGCATGACTGATTTAAGTTTTTATGAGGAAGTTACTAACTTATGTGTTTTGATGAACACACGTATGGTAAATTCAACAATTAAATAGTGTGTGTTTCAACTTTGTCATTTGTGTCAAGTTACGGCGGCTGTTGATAAAAATAAGCAACAATCACGTTACTAACTGAAATATCCATCAGCTCCAGATTAGGTTATTGACTTTGTACGGTATAGCTAACAAACTGTAACTTAAACACCATATCATACAAAACTAGGATGATAAAGCGATATATTGAAAAATTAAATTTATTCATGTATCCCCAATTTTAAAAATTTAAATAGGTTGCTTGTTAAGAAGCGAATCAGTTTCATGCTAGGTGTTATGGTTTTTATAAGTTTAAATGGTTCAACTCCAAAATACTTGGCAGATAAGTGTGTTCAAGTTTCATTCATACCGTCTCATAAACAGTTTAGATATACTGTTTGTAAGATGTCGCAACCTCAAAATGGCTTATATCGAGTTTGCAGTAGCTGATTCGGTCGGTTTTTTGGAATAATTTGCTTAAGGAATTGCGAACATCTCGACTACCATTAGCCAAGTTGAGGAAACTTGTAAAAATTCATTTCAACAACTTTTAGTGTTCAGTGCAAGCAATGGCATTTTTCATTTATTTATTTATTCGTTGCTTTTTTATTCAAATTTATTCCTAAACAACTTCTCGGAGGATAATTTACATAACCATACAAAAGATTAGCAGGTTCTTTAACGCTATATTCATGATAAAAGGTAAGTGCTGATTTAAAGCAATTTGTAAATATTTTTATAAGTAAATAAGTATAATAATAAATATTTAACAACGGGCAATTGAAATACTTCCTACCAATAAATTCAGAAACAGAGTAATCATCGATAATGAAAACACTTAAAAGTGTTATGTTGGACGAAGTTGAAGATTGTAAAACTAATTAAATGAGCGTTAAGTATTCACTTTGAACAAACAAGGAATCAACAAAGTAGAATAGAGACACAGTATATATATATATATATATATACATATATATATATACATATATATATATATATATATATATATATATATATATATTGAACATCTGGGCACATACACAACGTATAAATTTAAACACCGAGTATAGAAATACCGAAAAAAATTGTTTGCAATGTCAGAAAATCACTAAACACGTCTGTTGTTCAAAGTTTGGTTTCCTCTTTCGTTTTTCCCAGATTGGACTATTACAATAGTCTTCTTTATGGTGTCACCAAAAAGTCTTTTTCAAAGCTTCAGTCAAAACAGAATCGTGCGGCCAAGCTGGTTTTGGGTGGTTCGTGGTTCGATCATGTTACGCCTATTTTGAATAGGTTGCACTGGTTTTGGGTTGAGAAACGTGTTTCCTTCAAGTTGACAGTTTGATGTTTAAGTGTATCAATAATGCAGCACCTCCCTATCTCATTGATAGACTGGAATCATACAAATCTCATTTTTCAAAATATTCCTTCCGATCAACCGAGGGCAATTTATTTTATATCCCGACTACAAAGTTAGCGACGGATTCCCGCAACTTTGCGGTTTTTGGCCTGGTTATCTGAAGTGGTTTGCCTCCTTACTTAAGTGACCCTAACCTACCAATTTACAATTTCGAAATCAGCTTAAAACTTATTTATTTGCACAATGAACGTCCGTCTTATTTGTCTGTGATTCAGTAGCTGTTCTTTTGTTACAGTATCATCAATTTTTATTGAGAAAATTATTCAAATGTGTTGCATTGTCTCACTAGGCATTCTTATCAAAATTTCTGCAAAAATTTTTAAATTTTAAAAAGATAAATTAGCGTAAAAACCACCGTGCTCGGTATCTGTTTTAAAGTATTAATTACTTGATCTATAATTACTTCGTAAAAAATGATACGAAATTAATCATACACATTTTCAAGCGGTTGATTGGCAATCATTTTTTTCCTCAAAAACAGCCTGCACCTCAATGTCGAGATATTTTTATCCAGTTCGCGGTTTGCAAATTTAGAGAAATTTGTAGCTGTTTGAAAAATTGAATCAAAATATTTTGCATTAAAATTGACATGTTATAAATTTCTTTGGAACAATTTTTACGAAAATTTATTTTCGAGTTGAGCATGTCATGAAATAAGTTTTAAATTGCCAATTGATTCAAGTGAATGTTTGTAGAAGTTTGTGTCGGCTGCTTTTTGTTGGAGCATTAGCTACGTAACCTGGAATTCATTTGTTGAGAAGCATCCATCTGATGACATCATTGAAAGAATGAAAGTCAGAACAAAAATATTTGTTGTCGTTTTTAATTTATCATCAACTTGAAAGCGATAACTTGAAATTTGACTTTGTAGAATGTTTATATAAAATTTATTTATGAAATCTATATAGACAACAAATTTTACTTTGAATTTGTGATATCCATCACTGTATGGATAACCATCAAATGCTCGAAAAATGGTTAAACTGTGATCATACAAAGATCGCAATCTGGATACACTGGAGAATATTAGTTTTTGATTGATGAGCCAATTTTTAGTTTGTAGCCATTTCTAAGTTTTACTCAACATTTTGTAGAAAAAGTTATTGAGAAAAATTTACTTTGTGCTCAAACTCCGTAATGCTTAAAACTTTTGAAAATTTGAAATCGGTTTAAATATATTTTATTGCAATAAATTTTTTGGCTGGATGAAGGTTATTGAAAATTGTCACAGAAAAACATAAATTCTTTTTCATAATTTGTTCTTAATTATTTTTCATTTCATATTAACAAATTTAATAACGAGTCACTGTCAATGGTTGCATCAATTTATGGGTGCCTATCATGGAGAATCTCCAGAAAAAACAAGAAGTTTAAAAATCTATTTAAGAATAAACATTGTTGTTCCGTCGTACGAAAAACTATAAATATTATAAGATATAAGGAAAATAATAACGCTATGAATTATTATGAAATCTTTTTTCGAACTTAATAAAATCTTGTTTGGTGATAGCATCTTAAGATTTAATAATTATTTGGCACATTACTTCACTTTCTTCTTAACTTTTAAAAGACGGGTGCGCAACTTTTAAGTGTCAGGGGTGAGAAAGAACCGCGTAATTCATCCTGAAACATCAGAACATTGCTTGAAATTTTGAGGAAATGGATGTGATAGAAAGAAACAGTTTGATTGATCTGCAACATGAATAGAATAGTCGAGTTAATTTTTGACATCCATATAAAGACCCAAATAAAAAACATGTAATGATTCACTGTATGTTAAGAATTTAACATGACACCAAAGCGGATAAAAAACAATTTTGTGTATAGGATTTAAGCACTTAAAAAAACAAACTTCTAGCAGGTTTTTATCACCTACTTTTATTTCAAGAACTTTTATATCTTTAATTAAGAAACACTTGATTCTTATCGTGTAATAGAAAGTTTCATTAATTCAAACAATGGCCGCTGACAACTCGCAATCTTCACATTTAAATCCTTTTTCTATTCTTTTTTTTCTTTACCATGTCGTGAATTTCAAACAATTTTAAAAAATGCTACAAAAACGATCGTCAAAGAAAATTTTAAAAATTTTCAATTAATAGCGCACAAAAGTGTGTTGTTGGATAAGCGAATGCAACCTTTCAGTTGCAAAATTCAACAACAAATTCAACTCAGCACAACACACCAACAAAGAAATAACAACTTTAAAATAGTTTTTTGTTTTAAAAAATTAACATGAACATTACATAAACTGAAATAAAAATTTTTTAACAAAAGAAATGTGTCACTAAGCAGCATTAAATCGATATAGGCAACTATTCAACGACAAATAACATGCACGCAACAACAAGCAAACATCAGCAGTAGCAAATAAATTATTTAAAACACAACAACTAAAGTACAATTACACAGCAACTACAACACAATAACATCAACATCAACACAACAACATTGTTAGCACAACTGCAACAACAATAATAGAAATAACAACAATAACAACAAAAGCATCAACAGCAAACAACGCTTTCGAACAGATCTGGTGCACGGCCCGGCAAGCCAAGCACATCATCATCGTCGTTTGCATCACCGCCGCCATCATCACAACTCCAGAGTTCTTCGAAAAGAAAATAATGTTCCAAAACATAACTTCAACGCAAAATATTATGACGTCACAGAGTAACATGACGTCACAGGGTAACGTGACGTCAGTAGCTATATCGGCCAGCTATCGAGAGGGCTATTCAACTGCGGGTATGCAACTGAACGGGCAGAGAGATAACTTCACACACGTAGCACTGGTGGTCAGTCGTCAGCAACAACTTGCTGGCTTCCATGACGACACGGAAGTGATTGATGACCAGGAGGTCGAGAATGATAATTACACGAATAATAAAAATATTCATAATGATCGCTCATACGTCAGCCCAAAAGATGACAACTTCAGCCTGAAGGAAGGTGTTCACGTCGGTGAGAATGGCGGCGGCCAAGTAAGTAGCACGACTCCTGAAATATCCGGACACATTGACGTCATTGAGAGGAACGGAAGTAGTGGGAAAAACAAAACATCCAATCCAGTTTATAATATACAGAATAACAACAACAACAACAACAACAACAATAATAATAATAATAATAATAATAATAAAGATAAAAGTAGCAATAAATCAAAAAGGGCAGCAGAGTCTCAGAAAAATATTCCTTACTCGGACGTTGAAGTAAATAATTTGACGGATGGTCTGATGAATGAAGGCATCCATCAAATGATCTCCGACGTTAACAAACTCTCCAACTCTGCAGACCGAAGTGGTAGGGTTCATTCAAGTAAGGAAGAGAGAAATTTATTCAGTGAACCAGTTGGGATGTTTGAAATTTCCAGTTTGAGTCGACGAACGAAACGTTCATCGCGCCAGCCGCAACAAAGAATGCATCAAAATAAATGGCAACAACGATTCCCGAAACTACCTTTAAAACACCAACAACAACATCAACAACAACGTAAACAACAACGTCAACAACAACGTAAACAACAACGTCAACAACATCAACAACAACATCAACAACATCAACAACAACATCAACAACAACAACGTAAGCAGCATCGTCAACAAAATCAACAACAACAACATCAACAAGAGCAACGTCAACACCAAAAACATAAACAACAACTACATCATCAACAACAACAACAACAACAAAATTTTAATTCTTTAAAACTTCACCCACATAAACGACCTACTTATAACACTCGCCAAATTGAATCACGAAACAAAAAACTAAAAGATCATCGTCAAAAACGTCAACAACATCATGAAATACCTCCACTATTCAAAAATTACTCATCAACAACATC